CTTTCACCCCCCCCCCAAAAAAAAAAAGGGTTCCTTAACGCCCTTTTGGAAAAATTAAACAAAAGCCTAAATAATAATGTATTTTTAAAACAATGGTATTTGCTATGGACTGAATCCCTGTGTCCCCCCAAAATCCGTAAGTTGAAGCCTCACCCCCAAGGTGATGGGTTAGGAGGTGGGGCCTTTGGGAGGTGATGAGGTCCTGAGGGTGGAGCCTCATGGATGGGATCAGGGTCCTTATAAAAGGGACCCCCGAGAGCTCCCTCGCCCCTTCCACCCTGTGAGGACACAGCGAGAAGGCGCCGTCTATGAACCAGAAGTGAGTCCCCACCAGACACAGACTCTGCCACGCCGGGGTCTCGGACTTCCAGCCTCCAGCACTGAGAGGAGGAACCAGCAGGCACTGCTTCGGGCATCCCATAACTGCTCAGACACTGCCTAAGTGAGTTAGGAAGTCTCCAAACAAGATTCGAACTACCCTGATCAAAACAAGATGGCGGCAGGACAAGTTCCAATCGGTTAGAGCCGAGATGGCGGAGAAACCAACCCCCTCTTGCCTTTGCAGGTTCATTTTACCCTCATTACCATAAAATTACCATGGAACTCCCTAACCCTAACCTACCACTCCCATCACGCACCTGGCGCCACGACACTTCTGGCTTGAGTGTATTTAGGAGAAAGGAGGGCGTCACCCTAATTCCAGGAAAACCCTGCCACTTTCTAAGAAATAACGTGAGGATTCCTCTCCTTGTTTAGCCTACAAGTAAGCCGTTTCTTAAATAGAGGGACCCAAGGAGCCATGGGGCCGGTTCTCCTCCGCAGGGAGGAGTAGCCTCTACGTTGTTTGTAGAGTAGATTTTCTATTCTTCCTTAAATAAAACTTTCTTTCAGTTTACACTACCCACTTGCTACTGAGTTCTTTCCTGTGCAAACCCAAGGACCCATGTGGACTTCAAGTGATTTCCAGCCCTGGGAGTTAGGTTCCCGCGTCAACATACATGTGCACATGTGGAAATGACATTCGTTGGAAACCAAGCAGGTGGAAGCAGGGAGGAGGTGGGTGAATTCACGCCTAATGGGTACAATGCACACTGTCTGGGGGATGGGCACGCTTGGAACTCTGACTCCAATAGTACAGATGCAGTTCATGCAACCAAAATGTTTGTACTCCCATAACATTCTGAAATTAAAAAATTATTTTAAGTTCAAAACAAAAAGATATGAACTGTTTCTCAAACCAAGACAGCTGAGTTGACTCCGATTAGTGACTATAGAAAGGAGAAAAAAAATAAAAAACAGACAGGAAGCCTCCCAGCGCAGCAGTTCCGACACACTCCAGCCCCGGGGCCAAGTCCGTCAGCTGCTACTTCTGCGAGGCCCGCATGTGATGATGGCGTGTATGCTCACAAATCTTTTTACAGTGTTTCTAAATGGTTGGGGCGGTGGAGAATCAAAAGAACAATAATATTTCATGACACAAAATAGATATGAAATCCAGCGTCCATCAAGTTTTACTGGAATGGGCTCGTTGACGGAGTTTTACGGCTGCTTTTGAGGCACAACGGAGTGGTTCAGCGATGGGCACAGTGTGGTCCGCAAAGCCAAAGACGGCCACCACGCTGGGAGCCAGCAGTGACAGGGTCAGCAGACTGCGGCCAGGGCTGCTGGAAGCTGGACTGTGGTGTCCCCTCCCTGCCCAGAATGACAGCAGCCAGGACTGACACCATAAGGCTGATCAGGGGTCCCCGGGGAAGGAAACTATGGAATACCAGAAAATCTGGAAAAATTAAGCAAAACACTGTGGTTGCTTGTGGAAGCCTAGAAGTCACATTGTCCATTAACGAGGCACAGGCACAGTGAGTTTCTACACAGCAGAAGAGCCAAGCGGTTAAACGGAGCCCGAATCACTCGGACAAGACGCCGCGCGGCTGAGATGACAGTCGCCAACGCGGCAGGTCTGCTGTCTACGCACAAAGGGAAGGGGGACAGGAAGGAAGGGGAGTCTATGTAAGAGGGGACACAAGAGCACCAGGAACCCCAGGAGCGGCCGCTCGCGGACGTCGAAAGTCAGCCTCGGTTCCGGGAAGCTTTTCCAGGTCCTCTGCAGGGCACCGTCAGCACACGGATGTCACAGGTGACAACTGGGCACCACTGGCTCGTGCCGATGCCTCCCATGGGCCATCTGCCCCTTCGCTAAAAACAGCGCACGACTTTATATCATTCCCTCCCAAGCTACTTCCCTCGCCCTTCTTAGGCTTGCTAAGAAAACAGTTAAAACGAGGCGCTTCTGCAGAGAAGGAAGAAAGAAAAACCACAGCTCAGAATTAGGACTCTGCAGTGAGATCTAAGTGCGAACAAACAGAAAAAAATGCACGGTTTTGAGGGCGCGGCGAGCCAGGCAGGCTCGGATAAGAGAAGTACGTGGGGGTGAAGGACACGTCTCTTTGTAAGAAATTCTCCAAGACTCTGGTGATCTGTTATCCAAAAACAACGTGTGGACATTTCCCTCTTCGGTGAAAAAGTGCCGTGGAATCGGTGGGTGCTCACGACTGAGAACGGGCTCGTTTAAACCCAAAACATGCACCTG